TTTAGTGGTCGCGGGGTATACTATTAGGAAACCTTTTAGGAGCATCTCATTAGGAGCGTTCAGGTTGCCGCAAATTGCAGACAGACCGAGAACCGAGCGGATGAATAATTGTGCGCAGACGAACCGGAGGCATGCGGTTGCACCCCCATCCCCCACAGGCAGCATGTACGTTGGCGTAGTGGTAGGGAATATGCATCCAGCGAGGATTTAAGGACGAAAGGTGACACGTTGCATTTCGTCTCAATTCAATTCTCATTAGATAAGTGCATAGTTGGTTGCCTACCATGCGATAAATTAGAATTACTTAAACTTTTTACTTTGTTTTAATTTAAATTGTTATAGTGTTGGTATTAATTTTTTTTCATGAGTGTGCTGGACACATTGTATGTTTGTGTGTTATACGAGTGCAATATGCAAATAAAGTTGGCGAGAGTTTCCTTGGAAGGTTTTGAAACTGGTTGGAAGTCCGTAAGTCCGCGTAGCGCGGGTTGCCGAGGTCTTAGGGTTTAAGTTTGTGGGTTTGCGGGGTTTTCGGGGTTTTAGTTAAACTATTCGGGCCACTTATCTTCGTCTCCGATCGCGATCACAACTTTAACACTTTTTTCTCATCAATTTCTTGCTAAAAACGATGTTTTGTGGTTGAAATTAACTGAATTCAAGTAAAATTCGTATTCATGAATTTGTTGAGGCTGAAATTATTACATTTTTTATATGATATTTTGTGTGTAAAGGACGTTTTAATGCGGTGTGATTTTATGGAATTTAATGAAAGAGCGCTCGGAATTATTTCCATGATGATGAAAAGCGAGAGCAGAAAGGAAGAAGTGATTTTCAATTTGATAACGCGCTGGCATAATAAAAATGGAAACCCTTGAAGTTGCTGCGTGCGTTTTTTTTTTCTTCTCTCTGTTCTGGTCTGGGAGGTCTGTGTAGGAAGCTTTACGAAAATCAATTGCGTAAACGTAAAACGAAACGAAATCATGCGGAGCGAAGACGCATCCGATGGGAATGATTATTACGGCCGCGGAGCGCACGCAACACGAAAGAGAAAAGAAACGCTGAGCGTTTTACAAGCGCAACATCAAAGGGAATTTAATTATTGTGCTGTGAAACGCAAATTGGGGTGGTATAAGAATAAGGAAAGCCATAAAATACAATAAAACATATGTTTCAGTGGGAAAATACAAAAATTCTGCTTCAGAATCATAAAAATCACGAAATTTTTACTTTTTCTACGGTTTTGCGACACGAAAAGTGGTAATTTAAACACGGACGGCCATGGTCGTGACTAAAGTACTTTAGTCACGAGGTGGAGCGTATTTGCCTACGGTGCAACACAAACTAATCATGGAAATTGAGTGAAATAGAAAAAAAACCTAAGCATCACGTCGCTAAACGTTGTTAAAGTTTCACTTCGCGCACTTGGTACTTAATATACTATTTTATGTCTTTTCACGAAAGAAAAAAAATACAATAATTGAGAAGTAAAGTCGCGTAAATTGTGCATTTTATGTGTACGTTTCTGCAATATCATTAGCTGCGCGCCCCGCGCGCTCGTATATTTGGTGGCCTATCTTACGGATAGCGTCCGGAAGGACATTTCTTTCGCTTGCGCGCGCGCTCCTTCGAAACGTGTGTCCTAATTTCGCCATGTTTCCAACTTTCCGTGCGGCCCGTCGTCGGGGGAGCGCTTTATTGTCGCGGAGAGCGTGAAAATTGATAAATCTAAATGTCCCTAATGTCCCCGAACACCAACAAAGAAAGAACGCCGGCTAAAAATAACGCACAACACGAACCGGATCAATTTTTAATAAAAACACCAAACAAATAAAAACTGTGTTTTTTGTAGACTTTCATATAAACACATTACTATACTCACACTTTGTAGGTTATACTATAGCTTCGGTAATGTAGTATTAATGAATCGAATTAGAAGAAAATTTGGCATATCGTTTAAATTATGCGCGGCCGTTTAAGGTCGCAACATTAAACATTAACGACGGCCATTAATTCGCGTCGCCATTGCGGCGTTTAGTCCTGTGCGGCGTTGGCGGCGGCGGCGGCGGCAAATTTCCACTCGACGCAATTGCTGGTTTTAGGTTTGGGGGGCTATCTACCCACCGCATAAAATATTTACAGCGTCGACTGCAGCGACGCCGCGGCTTTTAAAACGAGACGTATTTTCTATTAAATTATCTTGTTCGCCCAGTGGCACACTTAAGTCCCGTCTCTACTATCCGGGGCATTCCGTAATTTAATTCGAAAAACGCCAAGTTCCAAAACATCCGGAAACGTACGAAGTATAACTGGTTGCCTACAATTATCATGTTAATATACAGGTTCTTATCTTTAACCTCATTTGTAAACTAATATCATGCAATAGCCATTTTTATAAATACCGGTATTGAGGTTGTGAAATACCGGTATTGATACCGATTAACCGGTATTTGCAATTTGACAAAAATTAATTTAAAAAAAAAATTATTTAAAAATACCTGTATTACCGATATACCGGTATTAGTATTGTCAAATACCGGTATTAATACCGGTATACCGGTATTTTTACTATCAAAAAACGAAAATTATATTTTTTAATTCTAAATTTTTCCGAAACACTCAGTATATACGTATTAGGATGTTTACACGATGTGTGTTGATGGTCCTTCCGCAGGACTTTCAGCTTCGGCACTTACGAGCGTTAGCAGCGCGTTGAAGTGGCGATTGTAATAGTCCTTCGCCCTGCGTCCTTTGAATGTCCCAGATCCTGTTTGCTGTTTAGTCCTCGCCGGTCATAAGCCAATGCGAGCTGTAATTTAAGTACTGGCACTCTGCGGTGTGCTCTGTTTTTGTTGCGGACAATACACCGCGCGCGCTGCTTTGTGTTTTATCGTCCTGTTTAGTGTTATCCTGCATATTAAGAGTCGAACAATGCGGCGGCAAGACGACAACGCGCGCGAGCGTGGGAGGGAATATACCGGAAGTTATAAAACCGGGGAGGGCGCACTTCGTGTGATTTTCGTCTATTCAAACGTGCCGCCGACCAACGAGGACAATTAATTATCCTGTGGCGGCGATTATTTTATAAACAAATTGAATTGCGGCGGTGGTGAAGTATTTTCTAGTTGAAGTATTTCGTATTTTCGTGCAAGGGGTGGGGGAGAGGGAAGTTGCACACAAGTTTTGCAAGGACACCCTTCATTGTGTCCTGTTTTATCGTCCTGTTATGTCCTGTTTAGTTCCGGGACTCCGGGCAGTGCTAAACTTGGACTCATTCACTGTTTTGTGGGTTGCGGTAAAGGCAGCAGCAAGAAATTTATTTATTTTAAGGATAGTTACGGAACTAAACACAAAAAACACATTAAATATTGATTTTTTACCGTTTTTGTAATTTTGTGAACACCCTGTATATTTTTTGTGTAGTTTAACCTCAAAACTATTGTCCTATTTGCCCCTCCGGGGGAAAGTTTGCATATAACCTTAAGAAGAAGCTTTATCTGTCAGTTGTCAAATGGCGGCCATTTTGTTTCGCGCCAATTGACTTCAATTGTTCCCGCAAACAAATTAGCTATTTCCCTAGACTAATTCCCGTTTTGAAAACCGCCGATTTAACCCGGCCACATCGATGAAGCTCGAGGATGCCTCTTTTCGTGCGCTTTTCATCGAAAAGCAAAGTTAACCGAGTTAACAAACTTCTCCGCTCGCAAGCGTCGTTGTCGTCCCATTGTCGAACATCCCCCGCGGGCTTTCGGTTATACTTTTAGTTTTGGTCCACTTTCCTCACCACACACACACACTATCGAGGTCGTGTGGGTTGAATTGAGGGTTAGGTTTATCCGACACGCTTCTTTTCGTCTCCTTCGACCCCTTCGCGACCCTTTTGTCTGCGCCCAGACTTATCTCAAACGATGCACACTATCTTTATGTGTGTGGTGTAAAATTATTCTGTAAGTTTGGTTGCCTAACAAATATTGTAATTGCAATGAAAGTCCGCAGAGGGCGCTGTGTGCGCAGTTAACAGTTTCAATTGATTTCCACCGAATAAATGAAGCAAATAAAGCTTGATTTAGCGAAACGAGGCCTCTCTCGCTGGCGAATTTATCGCCGGGGGCGGCGGCACGACTTTATAGCGGCGTCGCGTATGCACATGGCACACGCCGCACGCGAAATATAAGGGTATTATTTCCCAATCGTAAATTGTGTAGCTTAATTTTGGACCGCGGCGCGCGGCGCAATTCCGCACGGCCATTTGCAATTTACAATTTTCCGCCTGCCGCCCCCGCCGCCTCATTTGATGATATTAACTATTTCCGGACGTTTCGCCCTCCACACGCTACAATCTATTGTGGAATCGAAATTGAAATTGATAGCAAATCGTATTGTTTCAATTAGTAAAAACTCGTACTACTCGTGCATGCCGAGAGATGTCGCCACTTGCGAAAATAATAAATAATTTACTTGTTTCGTTGTGTGTCTTGTTAAATATGCTCGGGCTTGTTATTATTACAATTCAGTTACAATTCGCGCCGAGAGTTAAGAGGGTTGTTATCCGCTTTCGGCCGTGGGCACTTTTGGTTTTACGTTTTAAGGGTTTTACAGTTTATTGTTAAACCCAGCGCGCGCGTTGATTCGGTTTATTCAATTTACGGTCGCGCCTTCGCATTCAAATCCCGATCCTCGAATCCCCAAGCAGTCCCAAGTGTGAAACCCTCACCGCCGCGCCACTAAATGTATCCGAATTTATCAGCGGCGGCGCAAATAAAAGACGCAAACACGTATAATGTATGTAAGAAGAATGGAAAACCCGGCGGAGGCGGCGCACGACGCTCAGATTTGCAATTATAATGCGTTTATCTTTATTTCATTGTGTTGCGAATGCTCGGCGAGTGCTTCGAGCGTTATAAATAATTAAAACTTCAAGCCGTCACATGCCAAACCCAGCGCCATCTTGTTTTTTTTTGTGTTTGATGAGTGGTTTTGTACATATTTTGTCTTTGTTGCAGGACATCCGATGATTTTTCCAACGAATAAAACCATCACGGGTGTTTATGGACAACCGTTGACTTTGACGATGGAATTTTGTGCCAATCCCACATATAATAAGGTCTACTGGATCGCCAAGGACAGAGTATATCGGCCTGGGGAAGCTGATACTGATATAGTTGCCTATGCAATTACTGTAAGTCTTTGAAAACCGATATACCGGTATATTTTTCAAATTGCGATATTTTTAAATCGATAAAATTAATTTTAAAAATACCGGTATTTTTCTGCCAAATACCGGTATTTATGTTTCCAAAACCGGTATTTTTTTATACCAGTATATTTTTTTACTAACAAAATAAAAATTATTCCAAATTAATTAATTTTAGTCTCTTATAAATACCGGTATACCGAGATTTTGCTACCAATCTAAAAATACCGGTTTTGAACTGAAAATTACCATTTTATCAATATAGGCCACAGTGTATACATGTTGATTCTTTCAGAATACATCAACGATTCACTGCCACCAAGCGGTGTTGTACATCCGCAAGGTACGCGTGAGCGACATCGGCGAGTACCTCCTGCTGGTGCGTTCCCCGCAGGGCTTGTCCGAAGGGCTCTTCAACGTGAACATGACGTACGCAAGCGGATACAACGTGCAGCTGTCGAGCGCTGGCGCGCCGCTGATGACTTCCGGCGTTACCATCCCGGCGGCCATCTTGCAACTACTCACTTCACTCTACTCGTTGTTACTTTCCCCGCGTACGCTACTTGTACGATAATTGTGTTATAAGTTGTAATTAATTTATTATTCGACTGATTGTTAGATATTTATTTCTCACAAAACTATTGTAAAGTAAACATAACGTTACCTTTCCGAACCCGATTTCTGGCACGCAGGATGACGAGGATAATAATATTGTTGTGTCAGTATACTTATGTAAGTAAAAACACACATACTTTTGACGGTCTGGAACGAACATTAAATGATTGTGATGAAGCGATGCGGGCGGAGAATGTAGAGAAATTCGTGGCGAATGTCACAGACACAGAAAATAATTTATATACAATATCAATAGCGTATGTAAACTTAAACATAAAGAAGCATTAAAGTAACGATATTATTATTACTGGGACATAAATTGAAATACTATTCATTAACGCAGAGAGAGGCACACACATCCACACACACGACGAAATAAATTAAAGCAAGATAAATACTAATACGATAAACAAATGATAATTAAACGAAAAACGAAGAAATGTATAAAATTTGTTAATAGGTTGCGCTTAAATGTATAAAAAAGAATACCAATAATGTGTAAGACATATTAATACAAAAAACGTCCACGTGTTAAATGTTTTTCAATTATTATAACTTCTTTTTATATAATATCAGTTTTATTTTAGTCAGAAATAATTATTTGTTATTATTTTATATTTTTTTAGTTTTGTAAATCATAATTAGAAAATTTTCAAGTGCTAGGAAAGTTTAAACTACTTGACGGAAGACTAAGAAGTCATGAATATTTTTAAGGGCCAAAAACATCATTATCAAAGTTAAGTATAAAAGTTCAAGTGGTAAACACTCTGTATATTGCTATTATTTAGTAATTTTTAATTTTGTTTTGTTCAGATTACTCTGGAGGTGTTGTTCAAGTAGACCCCAGCCAGGAAGGTGCCTGAAAAGATCCTTTAAGCTCCATCAAAGTTATGTACTTATAATTTATGTGTCCTTTGGTCATCTCAACGCGAGTAAGCTGCTCCGCATGTGTCGCTTATTATTAAGTTGCAGGTAATTATGTTTTCCAATTTCCTAATATTGTGTGCTGTTGAATATTGAAAGCAGCGTGAAAGGTGAGTTCATTTCTATCATTCAAACATTCAACATGGATTGAAATGCCAATATTGTATATCGGTAGAGTGTAAACAATGTTTTTGTTGTTTTCAATGTACGTTCTTATTGTTACCTGAAGCGAAGCGTTCTGCGAGATGCAGCAAACGTATCGGTTATCACGGTTATCAGTGTTGTTTGCCTTGAAAAGTGCGCGCGTCTCAGCACGCAGGCGATGCGGGATTAGTTTAGCGTGTTTGCTGGACGGTTTCAGTCGTGTGAGGAGTTCTGTTGGGTTTGTCCGCGTGTGGACGTCGCGACTCGTCATGTTTCTTTCTATTTTGATTTCGTCGACATTTTGTGGGGATGTACGAGTCTTAGACTGATTTGTTATGAAATACCTGACTGTGAGTATTCTTTTAATATGCTTACTACTAGTTGAATTCTTGCATTTAACATGTTTAGTGTAATCGCAAGACCTTCCTGTTTGCCGTTGCTGTGCACGTTTTATTCGTTTTGATCTTATTTTTATCAGATTTATTTTGTCGTTGCATTTCTAACTGCGTAGCACGTTTCTTGCAGTGTTAATTTGGCAACAAATTGTAAGTATTGTAATTTCGTATCATCTCTATGGCTTAGTTTTGCAATTTTCTCACGGGAAAACAATAAAAATTGCATTTGTGGGTTTCGAGACACTGATTTTTCTTATTTTAGGGCTGTAGAAATTAAACGGGAAGTCGCAGGAGGACCATTTTTGCATCAAATTGTAAGTATTGTAATTCTGTATAATTTCTATGACTTAGTATTGCAATTTTCTCACGGGAAAACAATAAAAATTGCATTTTTGTGTTTCGAGACACTGATTTTTCTTGTTTTAGGGCTGTAGAAATTGAACGGGAACTTGCAGGAGGGCCATTTTTGCATCAAATTGTAAGTATTGTAATTCTGTATCATCTCTATGACTTAGTTTTGCAATTTTCTCACGGGAAAGCCATAAAAATTGCATTTTTGTGTTTCGAGACACTGATTTTTCTTGTTTTAGGGCTGTAGAAATTGAACGGAAACTTGCAGGAGGGCCATTTTTGCATCAAATTGTAAGTATTGTAATTCTGTATCATCTCTATGACTTAGTTTTGCAATTTTCTCACGGGAAAGCCATAAAAATTACATTTTTGTGTTTCGAGACGCTGATTTTTCTTGTTTTAGGGCTGTAGAAATTGAACGGAAACTTGCAGGAGGGCCATTTTTGCATCAAATTGTAAGTATTGTAATTCTGTATCATCTCTATGACTTAGTTTTAATTTTCTCACGGGGAGAAAGCCATAAAAATCGCATTTTGTGTTTCGAGACGCTGATTTTTCTTGTTTAGGGCTGTATAAATTGAACGGAAACTTGTGGAGGGCCATTTTGCATCAAATTGTAAGTATTGTAATTCTGTAATTTCTATGACTTAGTTTTGCAGATTTTCTAGGAAGCCATAAAAATTACATTTTGAAAGTGTTTCGAGACGCTGATTTTTTTTCTTGTTGTGGGCTGTGAAATTGAACGGAAACTTGCAGGAGGGCCATTTTGCATCAAATTGTAAGTATTGTGTGGTACCATGTCTCTATGACTTAGTTTTGCAATTTTCTCACGGGAAAGCCATAAAAATCGCATTTTGTGTTTCGAGACGCTGATTTTTCTTGTTTTTAGGTGTGGGAATTGGACGGAAACTTGCAGGAGGCCATTTTGCATCAAATTGTAAAGTATTGTAATTCTGTATCATCTCCACACTGACTTAGTGCAATTTTCTCACGGGAGAGAAGCCATAAAATCGCATTTTTGTGTTTCGAGACCTTGATTTTCTTGTTTTTTAGGGCTGTATAAATTGAACGGAAACTTGTAGGGCCATTTTGCATCAAATTGTAAATATTGTAATTCTGTATAATTTCTATGACTTAGTTTTTCAGTACTGCCGTGCAAGTACATTTTGTTGTTTCAGAGACACTGGTACTTTCTTTTTAGGTCTGTATCATAGTTTATTTTTCAAGTGTGTAGTAATGGGTTCAGTTCTATTATTATACCACGATTTTTAAGTTCAGGGAGAATTTTTAAATGAACATTATTGTTCATTTATGCAGTAAACTCTGATAAATCATATTTGAAGAAAAATATTCAAGTAGAAAAAGTTTGTTATGTTTTATTCTATGTGGTATACGGGCAACAAACTCGGCACAGAGCGATATGACGCGAAGTCGGAATGATTGTTGCTATTCTAGTTTTCTTAGTTCACCTTGCGCTCTCGTGTGCACACGTTTTATTTTTTCGAATGTTTACTTGTATGTATTTTTTAAAACTTATTAATAAAACACTTATTACATTTATGTGTTCACATTTTGTTTTGGTGCCTCTTGCCGTTTCAGTGTTAATGGTATGGCATATAACTTAAGTGCGTAGCGCAGAATATAACTGTTGCTTGAATTGTGTTGTTTTAAAAACATGATATTAAAATAGAAACATAAATAGAAGAATCAAATAACAATAATAAAAACACTCGGTGGTCGAGTGGGGGCGTGCACCTGCTGCTGGCATGCTAGCAGACACGGATCGAATCAGGTATAGAAGGCATTTTCTCAAATATAAAAAATATCAGGTGAAATTTGGGTTGCATATATGAATTGCAACGAAATATACAGAAATTGAAATACAAGTGGAGGCAAAATGAAAGTAAAAAGAAGAAGTAAATGGAGAAACGAGAACGGGAAAAGGAGATAAGAAGTAGAAGAGAGAAGAGGAGAAGAAAGGGGAAGAGAACAGAGTAGAAGAGGACGAATAGAAGAAAGAACAGGGAGGATCAGATTTTTTTAAATTTTTTAACGTGTCGTTGCTCTGAACGAGTCTACGATTGATCTTCCAAGGCGCCTCCGGCGCTTTCTGGTCGGAGGAGAATCTGCTACTCGCTGCGTCCATTGCTCCCGGCCCAACCTACAGCTACGATGTCTCTGCGCTTCATCCCCAGAAATTATCAGGCATATCAACAATTTTTTATGGTGGGGATCACCCCCCAGAGAACTCCTTATAAGGACATCCTTTTTGAAGACTTGCCAAAATATTTCTAATTTTTAAGTCGCCTCAAGAGAAGTGACACTTAAAATATTCTTACACAGTTCTGACCTGTAGCTGAAAATGAAAGATGGAGTGCACAAATCATACAGAATGCACCCTTAACAATTTTATGGGGATCATCCTGAGAGGAAATTCTCTCTTGAGAACCTCTACCTGAAATCGTGGCCAGAAGGCGAAACATAAATGAAAATGGTCAATATATCTTACGTTTTCTTTATTAACAATAGAATACAAGTTTTGATTTTACAAGTCAGCGAATTCGTGCCGCCATATTGGAACAGGACTACGACCTTCTTAGCCGCGCACATCTAACGCCAGCGTAGCAACAAGTACCACTTCATAAAGTAAATTGGGATAAAACAAATTAGCAATAGCCCATTTTCACGTCCGGTGGAAACAAATATACAGGAGGTGTTACAAGGAAAATTTAAAATTGAAGCGAAAAACATTTAAGGACGACAAATATGCTGGTTTTGCAGCCAGAGCTAATATACAGGGAAACTAATATACAGGGTGTGTTACAAAAGAAAATTATAATATTTCAAAAACAAAACTCAAAACCGCCAAGGGGAAAATATATATTAGGACCATTTTCGCATACACAACAGAAAACTAATGTACAGGGTGTTAGAAAACAGAAAATTATTATTATAGTTGAACAGCAAATGCACAGTACAAACTTGAAACGATCTGTGTTGATGATCTGATGATGACTTTTGAAAAAGCACCACGGGAAATCCAATATACTGGGTGTTACTGAAAGAAAATCAAAGTTCAAGGAGGAAGACAAAGGAAACATTACTTTTTCTATCGGTTTTCACAGAAGCACAAGGAAAATTTATATACAGAGGAATCAAGCGAAAACTTACATTTATTTCAGAACATAAAACAATACAAAAGGATAATGCAAGATGATGAGAAGAAAACACCATATTCTTTTAAAACGAATTTCTACAAGAAAACATTACAAAAACAGAACAATTAAGATGAAATCATTTTCCTCTGGATAATAAGAAAGTGAATGGTTAAATGATATAAAAATAAATCACTAATTTTATTGTACAAGCAAACGCGGAGCGAGCAGCACCGTTACAAGTCGTAGGCTGCAAACGAGGCACAGAAACGCATCCGATGGCATCACGCGACACAAACTTCAACAATAATGTGTTAAACGGCATAAAAACATAATTTATAGAGCAGTTTATTGGCTGATTGCAACTGTGCCGCGAATATGAGATGCAACATAATGAGTATGAGATATAAAACAAATACTACCCGTACATATGCTGCATCCCGCAGCGAGAGCCGAAGTAAGCAGCCGACGGTGACTACAAGCAATCTTGAACAACGAGTATTCTTACCAAATTAATACAGCAACCTATCAATCAATTTTAATTGTAAATATGAAAACTATTATAAA